AAATTTTTTAAATTCCCCGGGGGAGGAACATGCAAAACTGCTACAGTTGGGTCACAAACTGTCTGCTCCACCTTCACCAGGGGAGAGACCTGTTGTTAACACTGAAAGAGTGACTGTCCCTAGTTGGGTTTGCTCTGTTCGAGAAGATGGAATCCGTGTTCCTACTCCTGGAGAGTCAAATAAATGCCAAAAGAAACAGAACTAATTCCTAGTACAGTAGTTGCAACTTGCAGAGGAATTGGTTTAAACTATGGTGGAGTAATCAGGTCTGAGGAACAGCTTTGTGGATATTGGTTTGGAAAACTGTGCCTGGCCCCACACCTGTAAATACATGTGGAGGAAGGAGGATTTTCCTCACAGATAAGGTGAAATTCTTAAGAGTAGCAGGAGGAATTCTATTTTACATAAAACATGAACAAAATTTAAAATCTGGCTTTTAATCACCTTGTTTAAGTTGCCTCTTTGTGCCTGAGTTTCCCTATTTAAAAAGAGGAGCCAATGGCACTTGCACTTCTTTTTTTTTTTTTTATGAACTCCTTGGTCATATGCAGACAAAAAGCTCCATGTGAGAGCAGAGCCTGTCACCGAATGAGGGGATTTTTGTGTGAGACTGGGGTGTTGACTGGCTGCAGTGACTCATTCATTAAAGTGACTCTGGTATGGGATTGGGTTTCTGTAAACTGACTGTACATACCTGCTCTGTCTGTGGAAGCAGTTTAAACGGAGAAAGAGAACACCACTTGCATAGCACTTAAATCTAGAAAGGGTTCTGTCGATTATACTGAGTCGGATCCTGTTTTTGGAGAAAGAGAACACCACTTGCACAGCACTTAAATCTAGAAAGGGTTCTGCTGTCGATTATACTGAGTCGGATCCTGTTTTCTTCCTTAGAAGAACAGTATTTCAAACAGCAGGTTTTTTTCCTAGGAACAGCCCAAGGGAAGAGTTGTGCACTTCTTTGCAATTAGCATGACAGCTGAATTTGGGTAAAGCTATTATATTTTCCTTCTTGCGACTTCCTGAATTCCTTTGTGACATCGCTAAAGGGATAAATGTGCCTCTTCCCTTTCTTAGTCTCACTAAGTTTACCTTTGTGGCTTAGAATAATGTGAATTTCTTAGTCAGGATTCTGATATCCTGCATTCCAGCATTCCCACTCCATTGGCCCCGCTTCGTTCCTGTGATTTTTTCAAGAAATATGGCCTGTGGACTAATTGTCCTCTGCAGTGGCTGATAAATAAATTATGTTAGTTTGAAAACAGAAACAAGTTGGTTTTTTCCCACCACATGGCAGTCTAGAAAATCTTCCTGTCACAGAGCATCTTTCTGAGCATTGATCCTTCTGCTTCCATTGTGATTCCTTGGAGGAGCTGCTGGGTTCCATGGGCTTAAATTGATGGTTGTTGGACTAATGCCTGAAGCAACTGCTGAGAATTTATGTGGTGTTTAGTTTGTGTTGCTGTTGTGCCTAGGAGTCTTGATTAGAAAGCCTGTTATGGTAGATAATGTATAGGGATAATACCTGGGGGCAGAGAGCAGGAACAGCAGTAAACATCACTCATAGAAGTAGAATCATAGAATTGTCAGGGTTGGAAGGGACCTTTAAGATCATCGAGTCCAACCATCAACCTAACTCTGATAAAAACCATCACTAACCCATGTCTCTAAGCACTATGTCAGCCCAGCTTTTAAATCCCTCCAGGGATGGGGCCTCAACCCCTTCCCTGGGCAGCCCATTCCAAGGCTTAATAACCCTTTCCGTGGAAACATTTTTCCTAATCTCCAATCTGAACCTCCCCTGGTGCAACTTGAGGCCGTTTCCTCTTGTCCCATCGCCTGTTCCTTGGAAGAAGAGACCTACCCCCCCTGGCTACACCCTCCTTTCAGGGAGTTGGAGAGAGCGAGAAGGTCTCCCCTCAGCCTCCTTTTCTCCAGGCTGAACACCCCCAGCTCCCTCAGCCTCTCCTCATAAGACTTGTGCTCCAGACCCCTCACCAGCTCCGTTGCCCTTCTCTGGACCCACTCCAGCACCTCAATGTCTGTTTTGTGGTGAGGGGCCCAAAACTGGACACATCCATCAAGGTGGGGCCTTACCAGTGCCCAGGACAGGTGGACCATCACCTCCCCAGTCCTGCTCCCTCACTCCCTGGATGCAGTTCCAGACAGCTCTGCCACAGAGTTATTTCTGCATAAAATCAGCCTTGCTGACCAGTTCCCTCTGAACTGTCAAACTGCTTTGAGATCCTGTACCTTAATGGGATTTCCAAAATGTCAGGACTGCTGCTCATACCTCTCATACCTCTGCCTACCCCAACTAAATGGAAAGTCACATATTTACAGAATGGAATAAAAGTTCTGGTTTGATTCTAACTGTAACTGACCTAAATATGGTAACTTTGCCTGTTTGGTTTTGTTTGGCCTTTTATTTTTTTTGGTCTGGATAACCGGAAAAACCCCGACTCATACACTGTTAGCACCAACAGTATTGCTAATTGTTCATCCTGGAGTGCATTCCTGTGATATTACACGTTCCAAATACATCTCCGTCAATGTTAGTTAAGGCTTTGTGTGATTAGTATTTCTTTTGATGTCGTTTCCAGGTGTCATATAATAAGTACCCAAACAAAACTACCTGTATGGCCTCCTCCTGTCCATGGATGTTTTGTTAAAATGACTTGTGACATTCAAATACTCATAAAGTCAGGGAAAAGTTCAGTTTTGTGAGCTTGTGGTCAAGTTAACTCCATACCCCGGGGGCAGGGAGGGACGCAGAAGGAATGGAGTAGTGAGCAGTGGTGATGTAGATCAACAGCCCTTACAGTTCAGCTTTTGATTAACCCTTCAATTTGCATCCCTAATGTGCTTTCAATGATGTTGTGGTTACAGTGGATGCAGGAGGTAAACGTCACCAGAGACCTTTGTCTATGCCGTGGTGCACGGAGGAGGAAACTTGGGCTTGTGCTGCACGCCTGGCCCCAGCACCCTCAGGCTGCCCCACGCCTGGGGATAACCTCTCTCTCTGAAAGAAACCTCATTCATAGAACATTAACTGCAACAGGATTCTGAGAAAGTGGTTGTAACCATTTAAAAGTTGAGGGAGAAGAAAATTTCTTGGACTTCTGGAACTTGTATTTGCTGTTTAGACCTTTCCTTAAAGTTCCCTCATTCAACGTAGAAACACTGGCGATCTGTTTGGGGACACCAGCTTCTTTTTGTTTTTTATTTCGTACCTGTGAGTTCAACCTGGTTTGTGAGCAGTATTTTAAAAGCAGATTTACTGTGCCGTTCACCGCTCTGCAGGGAAAGGTGACTTTTGTCTTCTCTTCCCACAGTCCTGTCCCTTGTCCTCCCTGTCAGCGGGACTCGGAGGGGGAAAGCAGAGCAAGAACTCGAGTATTGGTAGTTTGTAGGTAGCTTTTGAGCTGTGGAGGTATTGCCTTATCTCATGGGTAGTGTCTTGCTCAATATAAAGTCCTGTTGGCGATTTTGAAATGTTGTCAGCAGTGCTGTATATCTGAATTTCATTTGCAGCACAGCAGCTGCTTGTTTTGGGTGTTTGGACTTTCATTTTATTTGCTGACAGACACGCATCTAAACTGATTTGAATCCAATACTGTGAGTTGCCGTATGCAGAAAATGTTAAATAACATTTATTCATTGCAAGGAAAATCTGTAATTGAGCTATTGTCTTCCAATAAAACTTGTTTTGTACAGCATGTTTCATGCAAATTGTATTTGAATGCTTTAGAAGTAAATAATACTGAAGTGGTAAAGGGGCATTTTCAGTAAACATAGTAAGGAGAAAGAGTATTCCTCTTTTTACAGGAATTAGGTAGTCAGATGAAGAGATTGCAAAACAGTGTGTTTGTATTTGACCTAGGCTGGCAGGATGCAGTCCTCTCTCCTGGGGATCAGAAGAGAGGTAAAAAAGAGAGATAACAGAAACTGGGACAACAATTTTCCCTGGACTCTGCAAAGAGTCTGGAGACAATCTGAGAAGCAGAGAAGTTTCTTGCTTTAACTTTCCCTAACCATCTTCATCGTCTTCTCCTGTTCATCTCATCCACGTGCTTTCTTCTGAAACCGTCAGTCCCAGCACAAACCCTCCCTCCCTGTATGGGCTTCTTGCTCCAGTCCCCCTCTCCTTCAAGCCCTCCATTGGTGTCCCCTTCCTCCTGACCCCTGTGCTTATTCTGCACTTTAACCTTTTTCCGTTAAGCGTATGATCCATTTTGAAATTGATTCTGGGATCACAGAATCACAGAATCTTCTAGGTTGGAAGGGACCTTAAAGGTCATCTTGTCCAACCGTCAACCCAACTGACAAAAATAGACACCCGCACAACAAACAAGGAGCATCACCATCACTAACCCATACCTCCCAGCACTACATCAACCTGTCTTTTGAACACCTCCAGGGATGGGGCCTCAACCACCTCCCTGGGCAGCCCATCCCAATGGCTGAGAACCCTTTCGGTGAAAAAATTTTTCCTAATATCCAGCCTGAGCCTCCCCTGGCGCAACTTGAGGCCATTTCCTCTTGTCCTGTAGCCTGTGACTTGGGAGAAGAGACCGACCCCCACCTCTCTACACCCTCCTTTCAGGGAGTTGCAGAGAGCAAGAAGGTCTCCCCTCAGCCTCCTTTTCTCCAGGCTGAACACCCCCAGCTCCCTCAGCCTCTCCTCACAAGACTTGTGCTCCAGACCCCTCACCAGCTCCGTTGTCCTTCTCTGGACCCGCTCCAGCACCTCTATGTCTTTTTTATGGTAGAGGGCCCAAAACTGGACACAGCTCTTGAGGTGGGGCCTCACCAGTGCCCAGTACAGAGGGACCATCACCTCTCGGGCCCTACTCACCACGCTGTTCCAGTGGTTTTGGGTAGAACCAGATCCGCACCCTTATTCCGGTGTTTCTAGTTAGAAATACAATTTGTTTTAGACTGGGAAGGCAGGTCTCGGACTATTCTGGATTAACAGACATTTTTGTCACCTTGCAGAGCGTTTCCGTGGAGCCCACCCCAGCGACCATGAGCTTGCTCTTCAGCGACAGCAGCTGCGGGGCCCGCGCGGCGGGGAGCGGGTGCTGCGCGGCCATGGCCGGTGCCTGCAGCGCCGCGGCCAAGGACGACAGCCTCGGCGGGGGCACGGGCAACCCTCCCGCTGCCGGCACCGAGGAGACGCAGGGCTACGACGTGGAGTTCGACCCCCCCTTGGAAAGCAAATATGAATGTCCCATCTGCCTGATGGCTCTTCGGGAGGCCGTGCAGACCCCCTGCGGACACCGCTTCTGCAAAGGCTGCATCATCAAATCGATCAGGTAAAGGAAAACTTATGCAAGTGGCTCTTAAGAGGAAATTCACGTGCCAGAGCAGAGTAGTTTAAGGGCAATGTAAACGGAATAGAACTGCTTAAGGTGTGTTACTGCTGAGTGCTAATAGAACGCTGGGAATTTATAATTCATTAAAGATCTTTTCTTATAAATGCCATGTATGGCCAAAATGTCATGAGTCTGGCGGTTGCCTGAGCTTCAGGTATTCTGCCATTTATACAAGTTTACCCAGGGTACGAATCTAAAAATTTGATTGCATAAACATTAAATAATAATTTTTAAAAAGTAGCCAAATCCTCCATATAACTTCCATTTTCAGCCTAGGATTATGAAACCTGTCTTTTCCCCGTGATTGCTTCTCTAGGTAACTACAGACAAGGTGGTTTCTTCGTGCAGATACAGCAGTTCTTTCAGTTTTTCACTTGAAATCAGCTGCTTCTTTGTTGAGCTGGAAGAGAACGTAATGAGGGAATAGTCTTGAACAAAGCATTGAGAAGAGAAACTGGGTGGCTTTTGGGGGAGTGGGAATGAGATACAAAGGCTAAGCCAAGCCAGGCTCATAAAAATGAGTGATGGAAAGAGCAAGGAAAGGCAGAAGGTACACTGGTAGAGTGTGCTTCCATTACAGCTGGAGTAGTCATCAGGGTGCCACACGTGTCAGTGAGTATGGGAACGCGTTGGTAGAAGGCTAGATGTCATGCTCTAGGGGTTTTCCTGCTTGGCATAAGCCAGATTTTTTCTTCCTAATTGCTCACTTGGTTCAAATGTCACAGTACTTTGGTAGGAATCTAAAGACTTAATTCTGTGTCACCCACGTATAGAATCGGTTAATTTCCAACTGTACTTTGCTCATCTTTTGAAGGCCAGGCTGGATGGGGCTTTGAGCAACCTGCTGTAGTGGAGGTGTCCCTGCCCAGGGCAGGGGGGTTGGAACTCAGTGATCTTTAAGGTCCCTTCCAACTCTAACCATTCTATGATTCTGTGATCTTTATGTAAAAGATCATCAAACTGTCTTCGATGTTACCTTACAACCTTGTTTTTCTCAGGCATTAATTTTTAACATGCAAAATGGACCGTGCTTTCTCGATTGGTTTTCCATACCATTTATCCTTAGTTTTATTCCATTTCTTTTTCTCTGTGGCCTTTATGTAAAGATCATCAAACTGTCTTCGATGTTACCTTACAACCTTGTTTTTCTCAGGCATTAATTTTTAACATGCAAAATGGACCGTGCTTTCTCGATTGGTTTTCCATACCATTTATCCTTAGTTTTATTCCATTTCTTTTTCTCTGTGGTTTATCATTTGTAGCTCACTAAATGAATCGTGTGCCAGCAACCATGCTCTTTGAATACAGCATTTTGTGGGGTTTTTGTGGGCTTCCCTGTAGTTTCTGTCACTGTTGTATCTGATACTACTCTATTTCTTTATGACGTCCCTTTTAGATCAAGGTGGGAAATGTTGGAGCTGAGTATGAGAAGGCAGACTTAATTTTGCATTCCCTGCTTATGACACCAAAAGAGCAGGCTATTTTCCTCAAAAATTTCCAGAAGTTTGTGTGTGTTTGCAGCACAGTTCTTGTTGACATTAATTCGGTCAGTATTATGCCTTCCTAATTCTGCAAGGAGAAGTTCCTCAGGTCTTGCCCAACTGCCCCACGGGTTCCCATCAGCCAGGCACGTGGAAGGAGGCCATGCTTTTGCCCAAACCTGAACCTGTCAGCTTTGGCTCTAATCCAGTTCCCCGGGCACGAGCCGTTGGCTTCACTTTCTGGCCTTTGCTTTGCACATTCCAACCTAAATTCTTTCAGGAGGTTAATGTACATAATTTCATGCATGCTTGTAGGAATTGAATTAGATGTTTGTACTAGTGAAGGCCATTAAATTTTGGAATCCCTTACTTGCTGTCTGCGAGTTTGCTCTATTTGTTGGCATTAGCAGTTTTTATACTATTCTTTAACTTGGATATCTCTAGAAGAAAGAAAAGAAATGTTTAAACATTCTCATGGGAGTATGAGGTCTATAAATCCTGAAGGTAAATTAGTCAGTGCTTAAGTATGCTGAGCTTTAGAAATGTCTACTCACTAATCATTTCAAAGATAACAGAATTCCTAGGTTGAAAACTGAGGGGAAAACTCCGAATTATCAAAAAGGGGTGTCTCGTTTCCAGCCTTGTTTTCCAGTGTTCTTGTTTTCTAATCCTTCTGCTGATGAGCTGCACAGTTACAGTCCTGGGTTAGAATTTCCCCCAGGACTGAGTGAGGAACTGCAGCAAACCCGTGCTCAGAAGGGAACATCTCGTAGCAGGTAGAGAAACTTCCTTCTGAAACCTCAGGCGTGGGGAACGGTTTCTCTTCCTTTTGAAATTAACAGAGCCTTTGCTCTGCTCAAAGTTTTAGGTCTACAAACAGTTCCAACGACCAAAAGCTTTTGCTTCTTTTACACCCTTTCCTCTGCTTCATTTCTATAGATGGTGTGGAGTGTTTCAGTGAATACTAAACACAGGTGGAAAGCATTTTTCAACTTAGAGTGGTTTGCAACATCATCACTGTGATGTTTCAGATTTTTCACTGATGGTCAAGGTTTTCCCTCGTTCCTCATGGAAGCCTGTCCCTGGAGGGCAGTTTGAGGGAACGCTTGTGAAGGCAGAGCAGGCAACCTGAAGTGCCAGACCCCTGAGTCCCTGAAGGGCTGAACCACATCTTAATTGGGATCCATGGATCAAGCTATTGATTTGGAGTAGGTAGTGTCCACAGCACGATATTGATTTGGAGTATGTAATGTCTGCAGTACTATATTGATTGATGTCATTGAGAGGCTTCTGCAGAACTAAAATGAAAATGGAAAGTGATTATTACATCCTGTAAGTACTGTTTTTTTCATTAAGTGACTGTCACAGCCTGTATTTGATCAGGAAAAAATTGCCTCTATTTATTCCTCATTTGCCCACTGTCTAACTCAAGTGAAGGCAGAGATTATGGATTTTAAATGATGAAGGATGGACAAGTAGTTTTTGAGCAATTGCTTCTTACGACTTACACAAACAATTGTAGTTGTCTGTGTTGAAGAAGTTGTGGCTGCAACTTAAAATATTTTTTAAAAAGCTTTTAAAGACCGGAGGCTTAGATCTTACAATGCGAGGGACACCATGAGACCAGATGGATTTGATCACAGTAGATGTTTGCCTCCCAGAAAGCCTTGGCGTCTTTTTAAATAAAGCTGTCTGAAGTGCTTTGAAGTGCTGTGAGTCATGGTAATGAAGAAGCTTATCTACCTGAATAACTACAAATAAAATTTTACAAACGTTACAAAGTACTTGATTAGAAATTCTAGAAGAACTAAGTTCAGATGCAGTAGCTAATTAAATTTCACTCTGCTCTTTCTTCTCCTGTATCTTAGGTCAAAGCCCACTGAGGGCTTGTAGTAGAGCTCGCCAAGTGTCATAACCTCTGTTTATCAGAAAAGCAGAATTACAAGCTGTTTTGGGCAGCAAGGACAGCTTTGGGTGTTGGCCAACTGTTCCAGCTTCTAGGTTAAACTGCTCAATTGCTAAAATCATGGAGCAGGCTTTTTTTTTCAAACAAAATTATTCTGGCTTTACTTTTCATACCTATATTTCAATTTCAAGGGATATTACAGGAATTTTCACTGTACTTTGTAGCAGGTGATTATTGTTTCGCGGGTACGGTTGTGGGTGGCACAGCCCAATGTGATAAATAATTGCAGCACAGGAAAGCCTGTGCTGTAACATGAGTTAGAACTGAGGTGGATAAGCTTAATTCCATGACAGGAAATGTATAGCAACATCTTTGTGTGTGGATGCATCTAAGCAGCCTTTTAAACACAATCCCAATACTCGTAAATGGTGTTTGAAGTCTGTTTAATATACTCTAATAAGTTATTGCTCTTTCCCTACTGTAATAATTGGAAAATTGCCATTCATTCTTATTTTACCTTTTGTCTGCTAGTTATTTAAACTGGGCATCTGGTAATCATTATTTTAAAATAATCTGTTGCTGGCTGTTATTATATATGATTAGCTTTTCTGTGTAGAAACAAGGCTGCTGTCTCACCAGCGGGCTGTCACGTCTGGGGCCGGACTGGCCACTGAAATGAATGACAGATGCTCTTCCTCCACCCCCCGCTCCAGGGAGAGGAAAGAGAGAGAGAAAGAGATTTATGGGTTTAGGAAAAAACTAAACTAATGACGTATTAATAATAAAATAAAAAAGGAAATAATGAAATAGATACAGTATATACAAAACCGTATCAAGCTCCCAGGATGACACCACCAGCAGGCAGTGGGGATGTCCCAGACTGGACTCATTGATGGATGGGAACTGGGTTCCAGCTCTGGGGTCAGGAACACACGGATGGGGATCAAAGGCAGATGAACAGACAGGATCCTCCTCGGACATCGGCCATTGAAGGAAGAGCTGACCCTTTGATCCCTCAGCTTTTCTACTGAGCGTGGGGCAGATGGGATGGAACACCCTGTTGGTCAGTTTGGGGTCACCTCTCCTGTCCCCTCCTCCCCACAGCTGGGACCCCTCTGCGCTTCTCCGCTTCCCACCCTGCAATGGGGCAAACAAGGGGATGAGCTGACCTTGGCTGTCAGAGCAATAAGGGTAAGCAGGAGCCTTTCTGCTCACCATTCCTTGGCATAAATTGGAAAAATCACATTTTGTCAATCTCTGGAAGCAGACTGCGGTCTTGAGGTGTGTTCTTTATTCCATTTGTACGACTCTCAGACGTTCAGTGAGCCAGCTCTTGCAAGCAAAACCTAGGAAAGGAAGTTCATTGTCTCTTTCTGAAGTCTCGGCGTTACCCCCGCTTCCTCTGGCAGCACCACTGAGGGAGGAGTTGCTGAGCAATTATTTCCTTTTCCAACAAAGAACACAAATTCCCTCATGGTCTCCGCAGCCCACTTGGTTCTGCTTCCCCTCACGGTCACAGGCAGTGACAATGATCTGGCCTTTGATCTTTGGACCACAAGCGCGCTCTGACATTTTTTCCACCCCATGTATTTTTCCATTTTTTTGGTGTTTCCATTAGCACGTCAGCTCAGAAACTTTGATCCCTTGTTCCTCTTCAACTGTATTCCTTCATTGAGAATAGATACGTTCACCTACTGCTTTCAGAGATGAGCTGATACTGCATATTTTTTAAAGGAAAATTTGATGGAGGTGATCCCTTTTTCACTCTGTCTTTAAAGATTCTTGTGTTTAAATGCAGCAAGACAGAACCTGGAGAAGTGGAACAGGCTGTTAGTTCTCCTGGGCAAGTTCCACCACCGGACTCCAAACATTGGCCAATTGGCACTGTCATCCACTCTGTTGGCTGCTCAGGTGGCTTCGTTACAACACCCAGTCCCCAATCCAGTGTAATTCTCATAGTTACTGGTAATTTTTGTATCTGGAGTTTTTTTCATCCTCCTTTGCCGTACAAACTAAAGGATGACCAACTGATCACATGGTTGTACAACGAAAAGTAATTTTTGTATCTGGAGTTTTTTCATCCTTCTTTGCTGTACAAACTAAAGGATGACCAACTGATCACCGATCAAAAGCAGCAAAATGGGCTGTATGAAAAGTGGATGGTTGTACAACGAAAGCAGCAAAATGGGCTGTATGAAAAGTGGTGCCAAATAGATGAAGTGAATCTGGGAAGAAAACAAAAGGTTTTGCTTTTTCTCTCAGCTGTGATCACCTTGGCTGTTTATAAAGTGAGAAAGAAAGGAGAGAAGGTCCAAGAATCTTTAAAGGATTGTTCTGAAATAATATGTGAAATGCTCTGTGATGTTTGAGGTATGTGAAATACTTACAAAAGCAGAATCTTCTGAAGTTTCTTTGCAGATACTCTGGAAACAAATCTGAGGAATATATCATGGCATTTTTCCAAAGAAAAAATATTGAGTTCGAGAAGTGCTGGGATCCCAGTCGTGCCTCCTCTAGTGAAACTTGCATGTTAACAATTTCTCTGGTGTATATTGTATACTGTCTGGTAATTGCCACATAAATGCCATTGTTTTCAAACATTTCTTAATGTGTTATAGTTGTTTTGCTGGCTTGAAAATATTTTAAACAAAGGGCAAAGGAAACTTGGAATCTCTTCTTCTTTTCTTTTCTGCATTGTAGAGATGCAGGTCACAAATGTCCAGTAGACAACGAAATTCTACTAGAAAATCAACTTTTTCCTGATAACTTCGCTAAACGGGAAATCCTTTCGTTAACGGTGAAGTGTCCCAACAAGGGCTGCGGTATGAAGATGGAGCTGAGGCATTTAGAGGTGAGGATTAGTTTTCAAAATACATAACCGTGTTTGTATGGACGAGTAAAAATTCCAAATAACTTAACATAGATGGTCATACCTGATCCCTGCTTATGCATTGTTCATTCAAGACTATAGCTGCGTGTTTGGTGGAGGTTTTTGGTGAGTCTTTAGTTGTAATATCTGTTTCTCAAGTGAACATCATAGCGCCTGAAAATTGCACTAATGCAGCTTTCTCTTTGGGGTCATTCACGTTTGTCTTTTGATGAGCTGTATCTGTACCTCCCTACAGTCAGTTTAATATTCCATCAGAGCAGCTAGATATATTAGTTGAAATGGTTGTTTTGGAAAATAATATACAAAGTTAAAAGGATAAACATAAAGCTAAATTTTTTGCCTGAGAGCATTCTTAAAGCTGTGAATACACGAAGCTCTGATCTTAATAACGGGACAATAATGGGTCACTGGCAAAGTTAGCGTCTAAGTGGATAAGGATTTCTTTGCATGAAGGACAGATTGCAGTTTCTTCCTCTTTACTGTGCTTTATCTTGAAAACAGATGAGGCAATAGTACCTGTTTGTAGTATCAAATCCCTCTTCTCTCCTTGTTTAGGACCACCAGTTGCAGTGTGATTTTTCCCCTGTGGAGTGCCCACAGTGCCAAGGAGCCTTCCAGAAGAACCATCTGAAGGAGCACATGACGCAGGAGTGTCGGAGGCGACAAGTCTGCTGTCCCAACTGTGCCACGTCTGTGGCCTATGAAGATAAAGAGGTACTTAGCAGGAGTCTTAGTCCTTCAACCTTCATTCACATGGGTTTGCTTGTAAATGGAACGTCAGTTAGGAAAAAAAAAATAGGTTTTGGTGTAGAAGAGCTGTTTGTGAGAGGTGAGAGACTGCAGAGTCTGGAACAGGGGAAAGCTGGGGAGAGGGTTGTGCTTCAGTACAATTCTTGGGAACCCTGTGGTGTGAAAAGGCTTGAGTAAGAACCATTTAATTTTGTCCTTACCGTTGGAGAGGCCGGTATCTACTGCTGAAGTGAGACACAAGCAATATTTTCATCTGCGGTTTTTATGCCTGGCAGAAAGGATGTGTCAGGAGATGCATCTTTTGGGGATAGCTGCTCACACACAAGACCAAAAATAATTTCTGAATTCTTCTCCTGACTCTCCATTTTTTATTTAGGTAATACTGAGGATGGTCCTTTGATTTCTGAGCTTCCTTTTCTTCCTTTGTATATCGATGTGTTTTATTCCAAGGGTTCTTAATTTTTATGATATATTGTGAATTGTCAAACAGAAATACCTCATATAGTCCAATAATAGAAATGATATCAATATTGTGAATTGTCAAACAGAAATACCTCATATAGTCCAATAATAGAAAAAAAAAACCTTTAATATAGCTCTACTGCAATTGAACATGAATTTCAGAAACTTTGGGAAAAATTCAGACTCCTTTGGAGCATAAAAGCTTTAGGAAATAAAATATCTGCAACTTTATGAATCTCTTGTATGAGTCCAGGAAAAAACAGTGATTACAGAAGACATGCTGTCCAGGGTAAGGGGATTGTCTTTGTTTCACAGTTGTATGCAGCTAAATGCAACATTTGAAATGTAAATAAAAATATAACATCTTATCAGAGGTGATTAGCGCTCTCTTAAATTGTGTAGCTTTATTGATTGTTTCTTTCCTCCCTTTTTCTCTGGTTGATCACTAAGCTTCATGACCAAACCTGTCCACTCGCCAATGTGTTTTGTGAATATTGCAACACGATGCTCATCAGAGAGCAGGTAAGAGACTGCCTTTCTCCCTGTTTAGTTTGGGTTGGATGTTTTGTATTTACATTGCTGCTTCAATCTGAAATTAAACTTGAGGAAACAGTTAATCTACTAGCTAATAAAACTCTGCCTGTCTCTCTCTCAGAATGTTGCATCCAGTGCAGGTGCAATACTCTTAAATGCTGCTTCTAGCTGGCAAGTGGAGTCTGGTAAAACTCTGCAAGATTTTTGGTTGAAATCCCATTGTTTTGGTAAACAGCTTCTCGATAGGGGCCTGTGATGCATGTTTTGCATCTCGAATGAAGGTTGAAGAATACCAAGCAGCTGCCAGTGGTTACGGCTGACACTGGAAGACAAGGCTTTGATTTGTGCAGAGAGTATTTATAATTGGAAAGGCACTGTTAGAAAGTAGCTAGAAATAATTCACTATCAAACTGTAGATCCTGGCTGGAATTCTGCTTCTAGCATAGTAGCCATTATTATTTCTTCTATTCAATAGCAACTTAACTTCATTGACAAGAAAATGATAACTTACTGAATTTGCAGCTGTTTGAATGGGATGGCAACTATGTTAATGGGTTAAAATAAAGAATGGTCTTGTCAAATTGGAGAAATACTCTGAAAAACAGGATTGAGTATATTAACAATGAAGGTGAAAATCTGTTAAGGTAGAATAATGAACTGCAAAAGTAGGGAACAGAGAATCCTAAACTAGTTAATGGTTTAGAATTAATGGCTGACCTATATTAAGCTTGTGATCTGCTTCATCCTGAGATTTAAACATGGCAGACACACTGGGTTGTATAAACAGGTGTTTTGCCTTGAAATCCAGAATTATCCTTTGTTCTGTTTAGGGTTCATAAGGCCTCAGTTGAAGTTGTCCAGCTTTTGAGGGGGGAATAACAGGGAGAATCCAGAGCAGTGAGATAATTTGGTCTGGAAAACACAGACCATAAGGAAAATCGAAGTAACTTGAGGTTTTTGAGGAGGAGGATAATGAAGAAAGGCACAACAAGTATATGCAAGTGGTGCTTCAGAAGGGACTGTGATCCAGCTTGTGGATAGGCTAGAAACAAAAGGCGTTTCTTCTAGCAAGAAAACTTGAATGTTTTCTGATATCATAACATCATAGAATGGGTTGGGTTGGAAGGGACCTTAAAGATCATCGACCCCCTTGCCCTGGGCAGGGACACCTCCCACCAGACCAGGTTGCTCCAAGCCCCCTCCAACCTGGCCTTGACCCCCTCCAGGGATGGGGCAGCCACAGCTTCTCTGGGCAACCTGGGCCAGGCTCTCACCACCCTCACAGAAAAGAATTTCTTCCTAGTATCTGATCTAAATCTTCCCTCTTTCAGTTTAAAACCATTACCCCCTCATCCTGTGGCTCCACTCCCTGATCAAGTGTCCCTCCCCAGCTTTCCTGGAGCCCTTTTAGGGATGAGAAGGCTGCTATAAGGTCTCCCCAGAGCCTTCTCTTCTCCAGGCTGAACACCCTGACTCTCTTGAGCTGTCTTCATAGGAGGGATGCTCCAGCCCTCAGAGCATCTGTGTGGCCCTTCTCTGACCCCGTTCCAACAGGTCCATGTCCTTCCTGTGCTGAGGACCCCAGAGCTGGACACAGAGCTCCAGGTGGGGTCTCCCCAGAGCGGAGCAGAGGGGCAGAATCACCCTGCTGGCCATGCTTCTCTTGATGCAGCCCAGGATGCAGTTGGCTCTCTGGGCTGCCAGCACATGTTGCCAATTCATGTTGAGCTTCTCATCCACCAACACCCCCAAGTCCTTCTCCTCAGGGCTGCTCTCCAGCCATTCTCCGCCCAACCTGTATCTGTGCCTGGGGTTGCCCCGGTTGAACTTCTTGAGTTTCGCATGGGCCCACCTCTCCAGCCTGTCCAGGCCCCTCTGGATGCCATCCCTTCCCTCCAGCGTGTCGACCACACCAGCTTGGTGTCGTCAGCAAACTTGCTGAGGGTGCACTCTATCCCACTGTCCATGTCTCCAACAAAGATGTTGAACAGCACTGGTCCCAGTACTGACCCCTGAGGAACACCACTCGTCACAACCCTTTGAGTGAGGCCATCCAGCCAGTTCCTTATCTGCCAACTGGTCTGTCTGTCAAGTCCATGTCTTTCCAGTTTAGAGAGCAGGATGTCATACAGGACAGTGTCAGATGCTTTTCACAAGTCCCGGTAAATGACGTCTGTCGCTCTCTGTTGTCTAATGTAAGGGCAAAGGCAATGAATTGTTCAAGTACATTCAAGGGGGACCTAGAATTTTTATCAGCAGCTAATAGTTTTATTAAAAACTGCCATATTTCTTTGAGAAATTTTGTAGGCATAAACTGATTGGACTTCAGGTACCTATTCAGAGTCCATCCAGCTGTTTTAGGATGATATAAAAGAATACTCTTGATGGAAAAATTAATTTCAAATCTGATTTGATTTAGATGCCTAACCATTATGACAATGATTGTCCTACTGCCCCAGTGCCGTGTTTTTACAGTGCCTTTGGCTGTCCTGAAAAGGTAAGCCTTTTATCAGAATCATTAATTGCAGACTTTCTGCATGTTTTTGGAGGGGTTTTTTAATGTGTTTTCCTGTTCTTGTCTCATTCACCAGCCCAAATCCCCTGTTATTTGTGGTGGGTTTTTTTTTTTTGTTTTGAGGTGTCTTAATTCTAAAATACTGTATGTTGATATATTGCCTTTCAAAAGTCTTTTCAAATTTAAAAAAACTTTGTGAGTGATTTGCTTGATGAACTTGCTTTTGTTAATCCATGAGGGTTTTCTCAGCTTTCATGTCAATAAAGTAGCTTCTAGCATTTCTTCCAAAGTTGTGACCAAATACAGTTATGGCTCTTAGAGTTTAGTGAAGAATACCTCACAGTGCTTTGAATTTTATTAAATTCTAAAATTATTTCATCTGGATACTCTTATTTCTAGCTGTTTAATACCTCTTTGTAAAAATGGATCTTTTCCCTTCATCATTTCCACATCAGTTTTCACACGCCTTTGTATTTGGTACTGTGGAGCATTTTAGCAAATCAATGAAGGGAATACAGTGCTGATTTAGAACACAGAAAAAATACTAAATGTATGTTTGTCAGTAACACTTTTTCACTATGTCGCTGTTTTGAGTTGAACAGTATTTACCCACATGTGTTTGAACTTCTTTTTTCATTTATTGTAATAGTGATCTTAAATTTGGAGCCCTCCATTGGGAAGGTGCTGCTTGGTCGTGTCACCTCTCCCTGACTCACATTCCAGTTTTTCTCCCATAACAAAAGCAACTTGTTGTTGGATTTTCTTCAGTGCCACGTTTAAGGTGCGATTGTAGAGAATTTTTGGTATGTTCTTAATGCTGCATCTCTTCAATTCTAGATGCAAAGGAATGAACTGGCACGACACATGCAGGAGTTCACTCAGGTTCACATGAGGATGATGGCTCAGAGTTTCCAAAATATCAGAGTTACTGCTACAAATCCCGTGCCCTTCATCAATGGCCTGCCCTTTGAGCCTGCCCTCTTCTCGCACGTGTCGCGTGCCGCCTGTGACTGCAATCCAGAGGTTGAAAACTTCAAAGAAACTGTCCAGCAGTTGGAAGGCCGTCTGGTAAGACAAGATCACCAAATCAGAGAGCTCATTGCCAAAATGGAGACTCAGAACACTCACGTGGCAGAGCTCAAACGTACTATCCGAAGTTTGGAGGCCAAGATCACGGAAATGGAGGCACAGCAGTGCAATGGTATTTATATCTGGAAGATTGAGAAGTTCAGTGAACTTCAGAAAGCCCAGGAAGAAGAGAGACCTGTTGTAATGCACAGCCCTGGCTTCTACACCGGGAAGCCTGGCTACAAGCTGTGCCTGCGCCTGCATATCCAGTTACCCAACGCTCTGCGCTGCGCTAATTTTATCTCCCTGTTTGTCCACACTATGCAGGGAGAATACGACAGCCATCTGCCCTGGCCTTTCCAAGGCACTATACGACTTTCTATTTTGGATCAATCAGAAAGCCGTGAAAGGCAGGATCACGAAGAAGTCATGGAAGCTAAACCAGAGTTACTGGCCTTCCAGAGACCAACGATTCACCGCAATCCCAAAGGGTTTGGTTATGTGACTTTCATGCACCTGCAAACCTTGAAACAAAGAGCCTTCCTGAAGGATGACACCCTTCTGGTGCGCTGTGAAGTTCTAACTCATCTAGATTTAAACAGTCTTCGCAGAGAAGGATTTCAGTCTCGCAGCACGGATGGACCTATGTATCCCCTAAGTCTTCACCAGAGGTATGGAGCCACCCGTCGTGTTCTTCCTAGAATCATAGAATAATAGAATGGTTTGGGTTGGAAGGGACCTTAAAGATCATCTAGTTCCAACCCCCCTGCCCTGGGCAGGGACACCTCCCACCAGACCAGGTTGCTCAAATAGCCATCCAGCCTGGTCTTGAACCCCTCCAGGGATGGGGCATCCACGACCTCCCTGGGCAACCTGTTCCAGTGCCTCACCACCCTCACTGTAAAGAATTTCTTCCTCGTATCTAACCTAAATCTCCCCCCCACCAGCTTAAAACCATTGCCCCTTGTCCTGTCGCTACTCTTCTTTGTAAAGAGTCCCTCTCCAGCTCTTCTGTAGGCTCCTTTCAGGTACTGAAAGGCCGTTATAAGGTCTCCCCGGAGCCTTCTCTTCTCCAGGCTGAACAACCCCAACTCTCTTGGCCTGTCTTCATAGGAGAGGTGCTCCATCCCCCTGATCATCCTCGTGGCCCTCTGCTGGACCCGCTCCAACAGATCCATATCCTTCCTGTGTTGAGGACTCCAAAGCTGGACACAGAGCTCCAGGTGGGGTCTCACGAGAGCAGAGCAGAGGGGCAGAAACACCTCCTGGGACCTGCTGGCCACACTTCTCCTGATGCAGCCCAGGATGGGGTTGGCTCTCTGGGCTGCCAGCGCGCACTGCCGGCTCATGTGGAGCTTCTCATCTACCAACACCCCCAAGTCCTTCTCCTCAGGGCTGCTCTCCAGCCAATCTCCACCCAACCTGTATTTGTGCCTGGGATTGCCACGTCCCAGGTGCAGGACCCTGCACTTGCCCTGGTTGAACCTCATGCAATTTGCACGAGCCCACCTCTCCAGCCTGTCCAGGTCCCTCTGGATGGCATCCCTTCCCTCCAGTGTGTCAACTGCACCACCAAGCTTGGTGTCATCACAAACTTGCTGAGGGTGCACTCTATCCCTCTGTCCATGTCACCAACAAAGATGTTAAATAATACTGGTCCCAGTACCGACCCCTGCGGAACACCACTCGTTACTGGCCGCCACCTGGACATGGAGCCGTTGACTGCCACCCTTTGGGTGCGTCCATCCAGCCAGTTCCTTATCCACCAAGTGGTCCATCCATCGAATCCATGGGTTTCCAATTTTGAGACCAGGATGTCGTGTGGGACAGTGTCAAATGCTTTGCAGAAGTCCAGGTAGATGACGTCAGTCGCTCTGCCCTTGTCCACCAAGTGTGTGGCAGTATTGTAAAAGGCCACCAGATTTGTCAGGCACAACCTGCCCTTGGTGAAGCCATGTTGGCTGTCTCCAATCACCTCTTTATTTTCAGCGTGCCTTAGCAAGGATTTCAGGAGGATCTGCTCCATGATCTTGCCAGGCACAGAGGTGAGACTGACCAGCCTGTAGTTCCCAGGGTCTTCTTTGTTTCCTTTTTTGAATATGGGAGTTATGTTCCCTGTTCTTCTCCCACAGTAACAAAACATGCTTACAACATGTCCATATGGGCTGCATTTGGCAAAGATTATAGTTGCCAACATAGTTGATCTTCACCCGAATAGAACTTTTTTGTTGCTGTATTTGCTGTGTTCAGATATTTGGTATTGTTCTCCATTAAAGTAATAAGCTACTTCTGTAGCAAGCTAACTAAATGAAGTGCTGGTAATTAAAACTTCACTGCCTACGAGAAAATCTATCGAAGTACGTGTACATCTGGTCTTGGTAAAACTTCAGTCATGTCAGAAAAGACCTGTGAATCTTCTCACCTCAGTGCCTTGGAATAAATACTGTAGCAGGGAAATAGTTAAATTAATAAAGATGAGGGGAGTTTTGTTTTTTTGTTTTTCACAGAGCTTGGGAAAGTTAAGACAGTTTCAATATTGACCTATCTAGAATTTGGAATTGGCTATGCTGCTCTTGAGATCCAAAGTCAGGGTAAGCCTTTGCGTCCATCACTGAGGGTTGAGGTGGGTTTTGACCCTCCTCCTCCTCAACGGAGTTGCCTTCAAGAAGTTGTGTGTCGGTGCAGAGTCGATGCTGGTGTTGGTGAGTGACACGTGGTAGTGGTGGGGAGAAGGTGACATGACTCTGAGCTGACCTCACTGGAGAAATACTCGTGGTCTGAAAGTACTCCCCTAATTCTCTGTATTTTGATAAATCTTTCTGTAAGCGTGTGCTCTGATGTCAGTCACCAGCACTTTGGAGGGGAGGAAAAGCCTGTTAATTAGACAGTGTGAGGAAAAATTGCCATCCTGTTGGCTCTCAGGAAAAAAAAATCTGGCTTCCACAGTTGGTCATTTACCAAACACTAGATTGAGCGCGTCAAGAATTCCTGAGCTGCCTCGTGTTGCTGTGTTGCTGTCTCCTCTACTGACTGTGTGCCCTGTAGGTGGGAGTTCTGACCAAAGCTGAGGAGCTCAAGTTTGCTGGTGCTAAAAGTCTTAACTTCTCATGGTGCTGACAAAGTTCTGAACCTTGTCTTTAAAAGGAGGGAAGAAAAAAGGTTTTGGTCACCCCACAAGTTAAGTACACCCTGTGAAACTGAAGAAAGGAGTAAGCCATACGTAAGCATATGTAAATTATTTCCCCAAGTTACTGAAACAACCCAAAGACTTGAGAGACCAGAACCTGAAAGATACTGAAGAGTGTTGGAGCTATTCGGCCTCATCACAGCAATCCCACGGGGACCATCGATGGGGAAAGGGCATATGCTGAATATATACAAGGCTCATGAAAGACTGCTGTATGTAATATAAATATATTGATTTGGGAGGATACTCTGCCTGCGATTAAAAGTTCCTACCACTTTGTTCCTCGTATCCAGATGAGTAAAATTTATTTTGCAGATAGAGCCTAGTAGTTGAAGGATTGTGTTCACTGGAGTGTTGTCACTACTGAAACATGAACTTCCTGGTTAAAGGCAAATGCAGTCACTTGTTGACTTATTTAGTGTATTCTCTGTGTTTAGAGGACAGGTCAGCACATACTGCTCAAAAAAGGAAAAGATCCATGCTTTAAAACTGTCTTTTTCAAAGCTCTTGGATGGTTTTGTACTGAGTAGCCTCATCCTATCAGCTGAGCTCTTTCGGGGTGTCCTCTCTTGGAGCGTTCCTCGTAGTTAAACCCTTCTCAGCCCAGAGCTTTGAACGTGTGGGGCTGTGCCCAGAGGCACCGTCCACCAGTTCTCCACCCATTTCCAACCCCTGTTAGTTACAGGGTTTTTCCCAAGATGCTGAAAGACTACTGTTCTCCTCTCCTTATTTTGAGGGCGTTGGGGGTAAGGGGCAGAAGAAATATTTGTGATTTGAGACCTTCTTCCTGCCACAGTTCCTTTCTCAACCCTAGTGATAGGAACAAAATTGTCCTGTGTCTGTAAGTTTATACCCAAGACCCACTAAGTGCATTAATACTTTCTTTTCTTTTGAAGCTTTGCGTTATGAACTGAATGTTTGCTTTGAGCCTTATCTGCTGGATCTGCCTGGGGAGGAGATGGGGTTTGGTGGCAGGTTCAGGAGTTTAAATGATTCAGGGTAATAATTGTACGAGAGCACAAGTCGATGGGAAGTAGAAAGCTACTGCATGTACGATGCTGCATTGGCCACAGTGATACGAATGCTTTAGTCACTGCTGCTATTCTACTCTTGTATTTTAATATTGCCAAGTAGAACTCTGAGTGATGCTAAATTACTGTAATGCCAGAGTTTTACATGAAAGACTTTCAGAGCTGATCTGCTAAGTATCAGTTAAATCTTTCTTGTTGTGAAAAATTATAGATGCTAACACCTACATGTTCCATTTTCCACTTTTTTCCCCCCCACCTCCCAAGCTGCTCTTCATTTTAGCTGCAGTCCAGAGCTTTCTCATACCAAAAAGATCATCATCTTTGGCTAATGGAAGGACTTACGAGTCTACATTGTTCCCCTCTAATTGTACAGTCTTCACAACTAGTGTCTTAGTCCAGCTGTTCTAAGGTTACCACCAAGAGATTCAGTTTCTATGTGAAAATGTATTTTCACTGAAAAAGCCTCCTTTCCTTTCCCCTTCCTGATCTTTTCTTTTGAGGAATTGTTTTACCTTGGTGGAATTGAGGTGGAATTGAGCTAGAACTGCTTAAATAGGAGAGAAAGGTATGCGGTGTTGAGAGTTACAATTGCTAGAACTGCTTAAGTAGGAGAGAAAGGTATGCGGTGTTGAGAGTTCTCTCTAAAACAAATATGAAGAAACATGGGGATTTAACCAGTTCCCTGTGTAATTTCTTGAGGAATGGGGTTCTTTAGTTCTGTAACTCTGGGTGCTTTGCAGCATTCCTGGGTCTCAAGGTGGTTTAGAAAGTGGCTTATCTGCTTCTGTCTTCCAAATTTCTGTTGTCTTGAACGTGTGTTAAGCCAGCCCCTCCTGCTGTGTGTGTTTGCAAAGCTGCTATGGCACAAATCTTCCAATTATAGTATATTACAAATGTGTTTCTTTTTTGCCTCTGAATGTCTTCCCCTGCAGGGCAGGGAAAATTATTTTACTAAAAATGTTGGTATGTAATGTATATGTGGGAGCTCAGATAATGTGAGATGTAAAGACTCGGTTTTTAAGTGTCTTCTGATCTGCCTGGTCACGTTTGCTGTCAGGGGATTGAACTTGCTGATGAAATAAAATGGGGGTAGCCTTACTTTAAAAATGCTTTCACATCAGATATATTGATGCTGGATGCGAAGGAGTAGTCTGGGGCCAGTGTTAAAGGTTTGTACTGGTTTGTCTGAACAGAATGAGAGTACTCCTTGCCCTTGGAAGTATAGATTGTTTAATATATTTTGTAATTAATGCATAGCTATATTTCTGACAGGATTTTGAAAAATAAACTAATTAAACTGTGCACCGTATGTCGCATCTTTATTCATATGGATGACTTTTCAAAAATATTACCCTTGTGGTACTTCCTGACTTGTGGGTTTCGGGGTTGGCTGCTTTTCAGTGAGAGAGCACCACGAAGGCAAACAACGTATCTCAGGGTACAAGGCTTCTGTCAATTATAAAGAGTAATGATAGTTGTATTCATTACTAGAAGACGGTGTAATTGATGATAAACGGAGTGTTCTCATCGTCATCCTGTGATTTTAAGATGCAGCTCTGAAACACGCTGCAGGCTCTCGCCCCTCTGGCCACATCCTGCTCACTTGTTCTGTTCACCACAAAAACAACTGCGGGTCGAAGCTTTGTTGCAGGATCATCAGATCAGAAACCAAAGGAGTTCCTCCTTTGGCTGTAAGAGAAATAAGCATTTGCTTCACGGCAATTGGCTGATTTCTCTCAAGCACAGAGGCATGCTGGGGCTGGTTTGTAACAGCATCTGCAGGAGGAGATGTTTTGATCTCAAACTTCATGGCCTGTTGAGTGTGTTAGTGTTCAAAGCCTTCAAATTCTGAGGAATCAGAATCATCATGGTCAGAAGAGACCTTTGAGATCACCGACCGAGTCCAACCACACACAAAAACAAAACAATCAATCCCGGGCACTAGAGCATAAACCGTCATGGTTGGGAGGAACCTTTGCGATCATCAAGTCCAACCACACACACACACACACAAAACCCCCCCACAATCTTGGGCACTAGAGCATGCCCTGAAGAGCCACGTCTACACGTTTCTTAAATCCCCCCAGGGATGGTGACTCCACCACCTCCCTGGGCAGGCCGTTCCAGGGCCTGACCACCCTCTCAGCAAAGTCATTCTTCCTCAGATCTCATCTAAACCTCCCCTGCCCCAACTTCAGACCATTTCCTCTGCTCCTGGCATTGTTCCCTTGGGAGAAGAGGCCAACCCCCACCTCTCGACACCCTCCTTTCAGGGAGCTGTAGAGGGCAAGGAGGTCTCCCCTCAGCCTCCTCTTCTCCAAACTCAACATGCCCAGTTCCCTCAGCCTCTCCTCGGATGACTTGTTCTGCAGACCCCTCCCCAGCTTGGTGGCTCTCCTCTGGACACGCTCCAGCCCCTCAATGTCCTTCCTGTAGTGAGGGGCCCAGAACTGACCACAGCCCTCAAGGTGAGGCCTCACCAGTGACCAGGACAGAGGCAACATCAGTGCCCGAAGCAAGTGGTATTTACTAGACGTAATATCTAATGCAGTGCAGTTAATGTCAAGTTAATTATGACTTTATCTTTCATACAAATTGGTCATAATAGCTTCCCTAAGTAATGGAGAGGAAAGCGTGCTCAGATACCAGCAGCTGTTGTCTTAATCCATTTTTAATGGTCAGTGTATTTAAGTACGCTAAAATCTTTTGGTGAGATGGAGGAGGAATGGCCTTTTTTTTTTTTAACAGGAAAAATGGGCACGTGCAGCTGCACCTGAGAACAGAAAGCACACAGAAACAGAAGGGATATAGAAGGAATATAGAAGTACGTTCACACCCATGTACGTACAAGTGTCTCAGGTACCTGGACGTTTCGGGGGAAAAAAAAACACGTGCAGCTGCACCTGAGAACAGAAAGCACACAGAAACAGAAGGGGCCAGGAATATAGAAGTACGTTCACACGCATGTACATACAAGTGTCTCAGGTACCTGGACGTTTCGGGGGAAAAAAAAACAAAACAAAAAAACCTTGACTTTGTACTGCTAAAACATATGTGTACCAGGATATTCTGATTAAATGTTCTGTTGGGTGAATACCAGCTCCTTGCAGCAACTCCACAGGAAAGATGCATTTGTTTTAGCTAAAATCCTCAGTGGTGCAAAACCAGTTGCTCTGCCGCCCTCCTTACCCCCAGAAAGCACCAGCCCAGCACGGAGGCTGTTCCACCTGGGGAAAAAGAAAATCTCCTTGTGCCGTTCCTTTCGGCCCTGTCCTGGGCGTTCAGCGCTTTGGTGCTGTGAGGATTAAGTCTCTTCCGAGGCAGTATTTACAGAAGTCAACAAAGCTTCCTAAATTAGCCCCAATGAGAGCTGAGTGTGCCTTTAACATGCAATCACGGAATCACAGGATGCTATGGGACTGAAAGGGACCTCTGGAGAGCATCTCCTCCAACCCCCTGCCAGAGCAGGTCCACCCAGAGCAGGTCCCACAGGAATGTGTCCAGGTGGGTTTTGAATGTCTCCAGAGAAGGAGACTCCACCACCTCCCTGGGCAGCCTCTGCCAGGGCTCTGCCACCCTCACAGCAAAGAAGTGCCTCCTCATGCTTAGGTGGAACTTCTTATATTCAAGTTTGTGCCCATTTCCTCTTGTCCTGTCCCTGGGCACCACTGAAAAAAGACCAGCCCCATCCTCCTGACACCCTCCCTTTAAGTATTTATAGGCATTGATCAGATCCCCCCTCAGCCTTCTCTTCTCCAGACTAAAAAGCCCCAAGTCCCTCAGCCTGTCCTTTTAAGAGAGATGCTCCAGGCCCCTCATCATCTTTGTAGCCTCTGCTGTCCCCTCTCCAGCAGTTCCCTCTCCTTCTGGAACTGGGGAGCCCAGAACTGGTCCCAGTGCTCCAGATGGGGCCTCCCCAGGGCAGAGCAGAGGGGCAGGATGACCTCCCTCCACCTGCTGGTCACACTCCTCCTGATGACTCCCAGGATGCCATTGGCCTTCTTGGTCACAAGGGTCCATTGCTGGCTCATGGTCATCCTGTTGTCCACCAGGACTCCCAGGTCTTTCTCCTCAGAGCTGCTCTCCAGCAGGTCACCCCCAAGCTGTAACTGCAATCAGTACAAGAATAGACTGGGAGGTTAATGGGCCAAAACTGTTGAGTAGGGAAACCAGGCCTGTCTACATAAAAGGAGTAAGGTGGCTGGTGAATTCTGCCCGTTGCACATTTTGGCTCAAAAACAAAATAAATAATTAAAAAAACACCACCCAAAGAAAGACAACCCTAAAATAATCTCAAACCAGCACCCCTGCCCTTCGAAGAGGGAACTGTTATCCCAGCAGGAGAAATGCCCGAAGGACACACACTTTGCTGTCACCCTCAGCCTTTTCCCCCCACGGAGCCGTTGTCTGCTCCCTCGGGAAGGGGTGGCCTGACCAGGCTGGATGGAACCGCCTGGTGCCACCACCACCAGCCTTAGAGCATCCGAGATTCTTGGTTCTTGTGAAACCTGCACATTTCCGTATTTCTGGCCTTCATGTCTTTTTCCTTTACTCATTTTAATTTTTTTCAGTTAGATCTAACCTCCTCGATAAAAACAGGTGTCCCTGTGCTCCGAGGCAGCCGTGGGACAGTGACTGGAGGCTTGTCAGGGTTCAGAACGTGTGAGGAGCTTGTGCTACTTCTGCAGTCTTTTTCCCATTCACAAACAATAAAAAAAAAAAACTCAACCCAGGGACAGAACTCTCCTTGTTTTTCCTATTCTCTCTTTTTTTCATTTCCACTTGCCTGCAAGGACACAGAGAGAGGTTCTGTAGTAGTCACCGCTTGAGTCCACCCTCACTCATATTTTCTTCCAAGCAGAACTATTACCAACGACTTCTTATCCCCTCAAAAAGACTGCAGTTTTCTTTATTTCAAAAAAAACCCGTGATATCGTAAAATTGAATTTACCTTGCTATTTCCTGGTGGAGGAGGAGCAGGTGTGTCCTGAGACACGGCATCACGGAGAGAATCTTCCTGTTGAAAGTCCCAGGCCCCGTTTCACTGTCCTTTGGCCACCGAGTTTGTTCCACTGGAACCAGCACCCGGGTTCCTCAGCTCCAAAAGGCCGGGGTTTTCCTCTCAGATGGAATAGGAAAATTTGTGAAACTGTGGGAGAAGAAGAGGCTGTGAAACAGGAGGATAATGTCCCTTATTAGCTGCCGTCCCAGCCTCCACCCATGAGCCTCCTTGTCCTTGCTGTTGGGGCTCTGAGGCGACGCAGCCCATGGAGGGAAAAAAGAGAAGAAAAAAGAAAGAAAAAAGAAAGAAAGAAAAAAGAAAAAGAAAAAAAAAACAAAAGAAAAAAGAAAGATAAAAGAAACAAAAAGACATAAAAGAGAAAAAGGAAAAGGTAAAAAAGAAAAAAGAATAAAAAAAAGAATAAAAGAAAAAAGAATAAAAAGGAAAAAAGGAATAAAAGAAAAAAGAAAACAATAATTAGAGAAAAAAGAAAAAAGGAAAAAGAATAAAAGAAAGAAAGAAAAAGAAAAAAAAAAGAAAAAAGAAAGAAAAAGAAAAAGAAAAAGAAAAAAGAAAGAAAAAAGAAGAAAAGTAAAGAAAAGAAAAAATAAGAAAACAGAAAAAAGGGCAAAAGGGAAAAAAAGGGAAAAATGAAAAAAAAAAAGAAAAAAAAAAACGCAGAGAGAGGTTCTGTAGTAGTCACAGCTTGAGTCCACCCTTCTTCCAAGCAGAGCTATTACCAACCACTTCTTACCCCTCAAAAAGACTGCAGTTTTCTTTATTTCAAAAAAAACCCGTGATATCGTAAAATTGAATTTACCTTGCTATTTCCTGGTGGAGGAGGAGCAGGTGTGTCCTGAGACACGGCATCACGGAGAGAATCTTCCTGTTGAAAGTCCAGGGCCCTGTTTCACTGTCCTTTGGCCACCGAGTTTGTTCCACTGAAATGAGCACCCAGGTTCCTCAGCTCCGAAGGCAGGGGTTTTCCTCTCAGATGGAATAGGAAAATTTGTGAAACTGTAGGAGAAGAAGAGGCTGTGAAACAGAAGGATGATTGGCACATGGTGGAGCAAGCTCCAAGGATTCACCTGCAACATACAGTCATAGAATCATAGAATCACAGAATGGTTAAGGTTGGAAGAGACCTCAAAGATCATCAAGTTCCAACCCCCCTGCCCTGGGCAGGGACACCTCCCACTAGAGCAGGTTGCTCAAGGCCACATCCAGCCTGGCCTTGAACCCCTCCAGGGATGGGGCAGCCACCCTCATAGTAAAAAATTTCTTCCTGAGATCTGATCTGAATCTTT